GCACTTTTGCTGAAAGTGCATTAAAAAAACTGCTTCTATGTAGTTTAATTTTTTAGAACTTAAGGACCAACTTGCAAAATCTCCAACTCTTTACTATAAAGTTGCGTATTTATATAAAGAATACATTTTAAAAAATCAAGACGTAACATCACTAAATCAGAAGAAAGCAGCGGACAAGATAAACAACAAACTGGAAATAGAAGTTTTTTGTTCGATTACCGATTATTTGCAACCCAAAAACAATCATACAATCGATTAATCGAATTTGTAACAATCGCAAAAAAAACAATCGATTATGAACAAAAACAATTCGATTGTCGATTAATCAAGTCACATGGCCATCTTTAGTAGATGTCTATCCTTGTTTTAATTTGACTGTCTTAAGAGGATGGTGAACCGCTGGCAAAAGTTCTTTTTTGAAGCACTCAAAATATTCGTCTATGTTTCTAGTTTGGGATAAAGGTATTTTTATTTGGATTTATATGGCCAATTTTGCATATAAAGTAAAAATGTAGTTTCTGTAATAACAGTCTAAAAACTTTTTTTTGTTTTTCTTAAAGTTTTAGGCTTTATCTCATTCTTTTTACTATATTTTCTTTATTTCTGGAGAAGCATTTTTTATTCCGATTCATATTTTTCATAAAAAATTTCAAATACGACATGAGGGTAAAACAGGATGGTTCAGCATCCTCTTAAGAAGATGCTGAACCGTCCTGTTTCATCAACAAACTAGTACAAATGCAAACGCAGAAATTGTAAAAAGTTACTGCATTAAAAAAAAACGGTTCTTCAAAAAAAAAAAAAGAAAACAGTCTACAGAGTCACTGCAAACAATAAATATTTGGAAAGCAAATAAATTTTTTATCAAGAAAATTAACACCTTTTTATTATGCTGTATGCCTACATATTTAAACATTATATATGACAATACACACCTTGCAGGGACAGATATAACTCGTAAGAATATAACGAGATTATAAAAACATGCAATCAAAGTCCAAAATAAAAGAAAGTCCTGGAACTGTAAATGCAAAACACTATGTACGACCCAGCAAACAATTTCTGTTTTTGACAATTTCGGCGCAGACCTTGGTAACAGAAATTGTTTGCAGAAATGCTACAATACGGAAACACCACCAAAATTGTTAGCACACAGAAAGAAAAAACGCAACAACTCTGTTGACAAATACATGAGAGTATTGCAGCCAAAACGATTCCATATATGTCAGTGAAATTGACAACAAATAGAT